CGACAAAAACATCAGCAGCTGAGATAAACTTCGGGTACATACCGGCTACACCGAAACAAATCCGTAAAGAAGGGGATGTGCCTGACGAAGGAGCCACCACCGCGCTGACACTCACCGAGCTTTGGCAAGAAATTTCTCGCAACTTGTCTACTGCAGCCAAACGCCAAAAGAAACACTACGATCTGCGCAGACGACCATGGAAACCACTTATCAGCGAGAAGGTACTCAAAAGAGATCATCCGCTCTCTTCGGCAGTAAACAGCTTCGCATAGAAGATTGCTCCGAAATATTCTGGCCCATATATCGTCAGAAAATTCAAGTCGACTAACACAGTCGAACTCGTGAACCCTAACACACCAGGCGGGCATACCATCCATGTGCATCTGCAAGACCTAAAGCAGTTGCCAACCGAATACTAAGCTCGAGTAGCTGCTGGCGAGCTTACGGACTCCAGCTCCGAGCCACTTATTACTATTGTAACGCAACAATAGCAATGGCCAACACTAATCCAAATGTCCGTTTGCTCATCTCTTTCCAGATTCCTTCAAAATGAAACGCGTTGTTAGCAAAATGCCACGCGCACCGGGCAGCAGTACCAAGCGCCACCCAGAGCCAGCAGATACGCCCACCAATCCACGACCCTTTCAACCACCACCGGAAGCACGACCTCGTGAACGCACGGCGGCAATCGAGGTGCATCAATTGCACGCCATTAGCATAGATGCCACCGGGCCAGCTGCTCGAACTCGCCCGAGGTCATCCAAACAGCTACAGGAGCACAGCGCCAGCAACCCACAACCGCGGCCGGTCATGACAGCAACAACGCTGGAAGCATTGCCTCGGCGAACGCCACTCAGCACAAACGCGCGGAAAATGCCAACTACCAAAAGAGTCCCAGCGGCATGCGAAACAACTAACGAAGCATGTGCTACGACAGGGCTGCGCGCCGCCCAAACTTCGACGCTACTCGCAGTCCAACAAGACGCAACGAGTGCTGTCACGGCCGAAGCCAGTAACAGTAAGCAACCCGTACGGGATGCGCACGAGGCACCAGCAACAGCAGCGACTGCCGAGGCAAACGCATGCGTGAATGACGATGGGCGGCTTACCAAAATAACCGCCACGGCACACGACGCAACGACGACACAACAACCAATTTTCGAGACCAGCGCACGACCAGCACAACACAGCGATAGGTAACACCCACGGGCGAAATTCCTGGGTTTTTGGAAGGGCTGACCATGACCCAGCAGCATTTCATCGGGCGCTCAACAAGAACGCTATTCTTCCGGGGCCGGCGTCTAGCCCTGAAGAAATTGGAGGGCGACCGCGTACTGGTGCGATACGGCACAGGGAGTTGCGTGGTGCACCTGTATGACTGATGCTACCTGTGTCACACAATACCTCGTATATATATATAATATAATAAAAAAAAACACACATTGTACTATAAACTAAGGCATTATTGTTAGTTATAATCATGAAATATAAAACACATGGCACCATAAGTTAAGCGATTATTGTTAAGATGCGTTGTACATTTCACACAATACCTGAAGTAAATCTGCGTTACAAGTTAAGTAATAATAATCATAGGATATAAGACACGTTGTACGATAGGTTAAGAAGTTGTTGAGAAATAAAGATCTCCACACCCGCTTCCCGTCCATGGCACATGCCAACCAGGACAACCAGCCAGCCTCCAGCCAAACCATCGTGGGTGGTCGACACCACTCCGTTCACATGCACCCAGCGAAGTACCGCCGTCCGAAGTAAGGGGGGGACTGTAACGTGGCTTTTACCACCTTACAATAATTTACGCCAACACTGGACATCACCTATTAGTCATACCAATGTAGTCACATAGTCTACACTTCTGCTTTCCACTATTGACCAAAGCTTCACACATAGTGCTTTCCACCATACAACTGCCACGGCACACATAGTGCTTTCCACCATACTAAACTTCACCTCACTRTACCGACCAAAGCTGCGCCGTACTGCTATATAAGCAAGCACTTCGCACCGAATGCGATCACTTCTTACAGCAGCCAGCCAGCGGTCGGACAGCAGCAAGCAACAACAGGCAGGGGTAAGTGGTGTAGGTAGTTGAGTACGCAGTAGAAGTTTGGTAGTTTGCTGATATTCGCAAGCATTGCGTTGAAAAGGTATTACACTTCGGTGTGATACCAGTGCTCGCAATGCCTCCGCTTCACACGGTAGAATTAGGTTTTCGTAGGCATTGCGTTGAAAAGGTATCACACATCGGTGTGATACCAGTGCTCGCAATGCCTCCGCTTCACACAATAGAATTAGGTATTTCGCAGGCATTGCGTTGAAAAGGTATTACACCTCGGTGTGATACCAGTACTCGCAATGCCTCCACCGTATCACGTAATTGATGTCTTCGTAGTGCACGCCCGTAGTCTTCGTTGCGCTACGATACAGTGACATCACAGCTGCGACATCACAGCGTCACGAGCGCAACCCGCACACTAGTGCACCGACTATACCTGCGCTGCCTGGAACAGCGTCAGTAACCCTGCTTGCACACGATAGTGCACCGTTACCTGACTAACGCGATAAACAGGCGACTCGCAGGTAAGACCAGAGAAAAGACACTGTGCTAAAGACAGTTGTTAACTCAACTCGTAGGTCAACGTGTCCGGTTGACATTCTTAATAATTTAATTCCTCCTTCGCAGGAGAACGCGTAAACGCTGCACTGTGCCGTTCAGTCAGCACCGCATCTGAAAGTGACTGCTCTTCACATTGCTGCCGAAGGATCACCACCTTGCAGGGATCCCGTAAACGCTGCACTGTGCCGTACAGTCAGCACCGCGTCTGAAAGTAACTGCTCCTCACCACACATCGATACTTCACCTATCTCGCGATATACATATAAGCTGGTCTGGCTGTCCACATAAGGGGTGTGGATTTCATCACACAAAGTGAACATTTTATTTGCTAAGGGTTCATGGGTCCCAAGGCTGACCCTGGAGCGACTGAGCATACTTCAGCTGTAGACGAAACCCCATTACAAAGTAGGATCTACAGATCCACGTGAAAAGCAAATCGTTTTACATATTTTAAGGTTCAGCGGCATATCATTTCTAACACACCAAGAAACAAGGTTGTTTAAGCCTATTTGCAACTGAGACTTTCACTATTTAAAGAATGGTATGATTTAAAAAGTATTACATCGTCAGGATATAATAAAACTCTTGAATACTTAATAAAAGATGATATGTCATTCATAAATAACAAGAACAGAATTGGAATACTTTAAGGAACGATTGAAGAAACATTGATGATGTCAGAAAAAAATTCGTTAAATATAACTTCTTTAATTCTAAGATAAGAAGCAACCCATTTTAGATATATTGATTGAAAACCAAGAAAATCAAGCTTATTCAAAAGAATTGAATGTGTTACTTTATCAAAAGCTTTACTAAAATCTGTATATATAACATCAGCATGCTTATTTTCAGTAAAGCCCGTTGACACATGTGATACAAATTCCAGCAAAATAGTTACTGTAGATTTCCCTTTACGAAAAAAATGAAGTGCTCTCTTCATCAGACGGACGTTTACGTTTAGAGAAAGGTTTTGATCATTTAGGCAATCTCCTTGAAATTATTGCGCGCCTGCCTAAAGACTTTAAATTTTTATTTTTTTTAATTATTTTATTTATTGGATCTCCTTTTCTTTAAAGCCTAACAATAAGTTATAAAATCTTAAATCTATTTAAAAACTAGACAAGGCTCAAGCAAGTGATTGAGCTGTTTTGGTGAAACGTTGTTCCTTAGTACGCAGGCATATCTCTTATTTTAAGGCGTGTTTGATCGCAGGAATGTACCAAAGCATTAGCCAAGGGTTGGGGTGATCTCGCAGTTTAGATATATATTTAATTCTGCTATCTTCTACTTCTTTCTTTACCATAGGAATATCAAGGTTTTGATGGATATTTTTGTTACGCATGTAACATGGTGAACACGTAATTGTTCGAAGCATTTTCGATTGGAACCTTTATATTATATCAATATTATTTATTGGATGTGTTTCATTTTCTTTTAAGTTGATTTGAGTTCGGCAATAATTCAATTTTTAACATTGGCTGTGGTACTTTGTTTCTATTTAATATATTTACATCTATTTTAATACCAAAAGCTGATCCTTCCAATGCTCTTTGACTTCATTAGAGTCTACGGCAGACTTCATAAGCTTAACTACAACAACTAGACCCTCAGAGCTCTTCAGTTGATACGAATAATAATTCTTGTTTTTATAAAATTTTACAAAAATTTAACGATTTCCATACAACTTTTTTCGGTGTAGGACTGAATTTTTGTTTCATCTATATTGCCTTTTTTCAAAGGCACAGTATGAAAATTGTTAGTACCTACAATTTCACTCAATTTCGCAACAAGAGTATTACTGCTTCGTTCGCGCAAATATGTTGGAGGTGGTTTGGCATTAACCGACTGTATTGGTACCCTTCGCATCGTCGTCTGAACTATTGCTTAGTATGGCGAATATGTTGCCATTTAAAACTTCCGTTTTATTTTTATTTGGTGTGCCGCCTTGAAATTTTTTAGGATTTACCGCTGACTTTGAAGGACCTAATTTCCTTTTTATATTAAAGGACCTTGAGTTGTGATTTTCTTTGTTGTCTGCGCGCTTGCTGGTACCTGCAGACTGGTTGCTGTCAGCCCATTTGCTGTTGCCCGATTGTTGTTTTCTGCTGCTTCTGTTAACTGCGTTTCCTTTTCTGCTGATCGTCGCGATGACTCATTATTGCCGTTACACTTTTTATTTCCAGTAGTTGTTATTGTGGTTTGGTCGACAAAGCTGAAGTAGGCATTTAAGAAACGCCTTTGCTGGTGAGGCCGCGAAGCACTCATTATTGTGTTTTTTTTATCTACTTATTTCGTGCACTATTTGCTTATTTTTATAAATAATAATTTGTGAGCACTGATTTTTTTTATTGATTGTTTTTAATTTATTATTAATGGTTGCTTTTTGCAGAATGTGAATACACGAATCATGTTAAAAAAACACGTCCGTATACCGTGAACGCCAAAACTTTCCGGAACTTTAAATAATTCAATTTCTGTCGGTCTGAATTTTATGAAAGGCCAGCGCAAGCCTTTTCTATCAAGAATAGATTGAATACCCCACCTGTCAGTCCAGCACATTTAAGATGGGCATAGCCAGCAAGAAACAATGCGTTCCGACTCACCTTTCGCAGAACAAGTCGGGAAATTGCAAGTCATAATTATAAAAAACAATATTAAATAAAAATGAATAAATTTGAATAATAAAAGTAAAAAGAGCTCTAACAAAAATATTTATAATAAATAAATGCAGTAAAAATTATTGGTTATCAAGGAAGAAATTTAAGTAAGCAATAAAAATTATCACTTACAATTGCACTATTAAAAAATGTAGCAACAAAAACAAATTAAAATTGACTCGGCGGAATAAATTAACAGTGATACTTATCTTAACAGATCACTTGATCCAGATATTTTCACAATACATTTTTAAATATAAATTAAACAAATTTACAAGAGCAAAAAATTTCACAGCTGAACACTAGGAGGATACGAGTATAACAACTTTTAATTGTTTTGCTTTAATCGTAGAATGGGCAGTGGCGACATGATCAAAATTTTAGGGGATACATGCTCTAACATAAACTACATTCAGCCACATATGGCTCAAAAGAAATTCCAAAATGACAAGAACTTTTTCGTAAATTCAGTAAGTGGAAGAATAGAATAGATCACTCATCTTACGTATGCAAACCTTTTTAACTTACCAGATATAAATATAAAGTTTTATTTTCTCCCTTCTCTCACATCTTTTCATGCCATAATTGCCAATGATACTCTTAAAGACCTATCCGCAATCATTCATACCAAAGATAATTTCATGACCATAAATAACTCATATAGAATAAAACTAAAGCAAGACGTATATCACGTCATTATCAGAGATAACCACATGAACAACTTTCAAAAAGAAACAATGAAATCAATAATAAACAAACATTTCGACCTTTTCTCCGACCCTAATGAAAAACTTACTTATAGTACAAAAGTCATCGCCAATATTAGAACCAGCTCCGAAATAGCAAATACGAATTCACAAGTTAGCCATTCGATTTTAAGAACCCCAGCAATATTTCAACGAGCTTTAAATGTTTTTCTTTGAAAGAATATTGGAAAAATTCAGCAAAGATGAAAAACACATTCTCAACACATCCTTGAAATTTTCGAAACTTTACTAGACACCAATATGAAAGTACAAATGGATAAGTGTGAAATCTTTAAATTATAAACAGAATTTTTAGAGTTTTTAGTGTTCAGACGGAATAAACACTCACCCTAATAAAGTATAAGCAATATTCGACTTTCCATACCCAAAACCTTAAAACTATTTAAGATCATTTTTAGGGCTCTCCGGTTACTAAAGACGAAACCCCTTACAACTTAGATGAGGAAATGAAAGAATATCGAAAAATGAATCAAAAGAGAAAATAATTAAGCTAGACGACTCAGCTGGAAATCAAATTGTAGTTGAACATAGAAGAGCCCATAGAAGTGCAATAGAAAATAAACAAATAAGGAGGAGCTAAGTTCGGGTGCAACCGAACATTGTATACTCTTACAACTTTCAGGAATCAAAGCAAGCGAAATACCTTAAGATGTAAAATGTTAACCTGAATAACAATAGTAACTTTATATATGTACATACATATAACTATTATATGTAACTCATATGCTGACAGACACATAATGTTTGTTAGAAAAACAAACCATTCTACGTAATATATGGCAGTTAAGGTAGTATAGACCAGATTTTATCTATTTTTCGCAATACCACTATTAACATGTCACATACTACAAAACTAATCACATAGAGTCAGTCAAATTGAAAATCCTGACATTAGTTATATGGGGGGAAGTCAAGTTTGCAACACCAAAAGCCCCGTCAGAATCAGAAAGGACCTCTCCGAGCCGTTCGACACCAAACGGGATTTCAGACAAGGCGACTCCCTATCGTGCGACTTCTTCAACCTGCTTCTGGAGAAATAATTCGAGCTGCAGAACTAAATAGAGAAGGTACCATCTTCTATAAGAGTGTACAGCTGCCTGCGTATGCCGCACCGTTAGTTCTGCTTTCTCCAAACTGGACAAGAAAGCAAAGCAGATGGATCTGGCAGTGAACGAGGGTAAGACGAAATATTTCCTGTCATCAAACAAGCAGTCGTCGCACTCGCGACTTAGCTCTCCCGTCACTGTTGACTGATGTGTCAACGTTGCGAGTTTTTGAGAGTTGTGCGAAAGATTTATTGTCCTTTGCGCGTTGGCCACGGCGAATATCGCATTCGATGGAACGATGAGCTGTATGAGATATATGACGACATTGGCACAGTTCAGCGCATTAAAAGGCAGCGGGTACGCTGGCTAGGTCATGTCGTCCGAATGGACGAAAACACTCCAGCTCTGAAAGTATTCGACGCTGTATCCGCCAGGGGAAGCAGAGGAAGAGGAAGACCTCCACTCCGTTGGAAGGTCCAGGTGGAGAAGGACCTCGCTACGCTCTGAATATCCAATTGGCGCCACGTAGCGAAAAGAAGAAACGACTGGCTCGTTGTTATTAACTCGGAACAAGTCAAGTTTTCGCTCAAATTTATCTATCTTTATAATTGATACATATATGGAGACTAAGGGAATTATTGGTCCAATTCAACCAATCTCTGACATACAGTCATACCATTTTCAGAGAAGTACTGTCCCTGATTTTCAATTATATATCTCATAAACTGACTGATATTTTAACAAAAAATAAGTACTAAAATTTGAACAATTTTTATTTATAAGCATACACTACGCATGATTCCTGCAAAGTTTAATACTGTTATATTAATTGCTTCCTGATTTGCGTACTGGAAAATGAACGAATCAAATGGAATTTAAAACTGTGCTACGTGGGAGTATTCGTAGTATTTGTCCGATTTCGCTCATTTTCACAACGTGAGAATGAGAAATCGGTTGGTCGGGCCCGAGATATAAATTGATGAAAATCCGATATTCTTTTAATATTTCTATGTCACAGTCTAAAAATGAGCGACATCGGACTACAATCACAACTACTTCCCATGTTACACAATTTAAAATTCCTTCACTTTCCAGTACACAAGTTAAGAAGTAATTAATAAAATGGAATAAAACTTTGCGATAATAATTTCCTTAAAGTAC